GGTCCAAGCTCACATGCCTATAAGGCTAGGCAGGTTAACAGTAAAAGAATGAATAGAAACCCTAACAAACTGGAGAACACTTCCCTGTGCTCCAGCTGATTGCGTCCAAATGGTAACTAGGCCCAAGAATGCTAGATTTTCCTATCATGCAAAGAAGTTGAAATCCTGGACTCTTTTCATTTCAAAACACTGACAACTAATATTATTTTTAATGTAATCCTTTGTCAACAAACAAAACGTAAGTGCAGATGACTCAAACCCCTAAACTGCCAGTTTGCAACCTGTGCTCTAGCTCCTAACACAGTGTTACACACAGAATAAGGCATAAATGTTGGGCTGAATTTATAAAGGCAGCATATAAGGCTGTATATATCAGGGCCACCATATTTCAAATATACTCAGCTGTTTCAAGTACTTAGAACAATGACATGACCACCAAGACAACTAAGAAATGCAATAGAAATTAAGTGAAAAGTATATATAAACCATAGAATTCTAGGGATTAACGTACACGATCCCTTATTTAAATGTCAGTTATTTAGTGACAATTTTTCCAAAAGAAAATTCTGTTTGAGTTAAGGGGTACGTGTAATTTCACAGACACTATCTAATTTATATACATCTTTGAGATACGATGCATATCAAATATATAAGATTGAAGTTTTTTGTTTTGTTTTTTGGTACCGGGGATCGAACTCGGGTCCTTGTGCTTATCATATACTTTTTTTTAATTTTTTTTTTGTACCAGGGATTGAACTCGGGTCCTTGTGCTTGCAAGGCAGGCTACCAAACCGCTGAGCTAAATCCCCAGCCCTATAAAATGAAGTTTAAAAGGCCATATATTTTAAAATCTGCCCATGAAACCATCACTGGTTAGTTCTTTGGTAATGGTTAACTGGCACCTAATTATCAATGCAGTTAGCCCTAATTACACAAGCAACAATAAAACTTTGAGTAGTCTTACTTTTGTGCAGATATTCAATCAGTTGGTATATCTGGGCAATGCCTTCCTCCGTCAGTGGGGATCCAAATACCACTCCTTTTTCTGAAAAACCACATGATAGGACAGAACTGTATTTCACACAAATAGAACAAAATAGTACAAAATTTATCATATCTAAAACCACCCTGTGGCCAGGTGTGGTGGCGCAACCTGTAATCCCAGCACTCGGGAGGCTGAGGCTGGAGGATCACTGTGAGTTTGAGACCAACCTGGGCTACATAGTGAGTTCCAGGTCAGTCTCAACTACAGAGTGAGATCCTGTCTCAAAAAACCAAAATAAATAAATAAATAAAACCACCCCAACATTACAGTTTGGCAAATGTTTTCACAGGGTGAATAAACCAAAACCTTAGCACTGGAAGGGTAGCAGAAAATACAATCAGAACAACTCTCAAATCAGCTCCAAGTTCAATATCAAATAGTAGGTTCCATAAAGACCAAGACTGTTTTCTTATTTAAGTAATAATATCACACTGATAATTAAATTAATTTTCAAACAAAAAAGAACTCACAGTTGTGAAAGCATGACACATCATCCACCAGAGCTGACACAGGATGTCACCTGATAATGCATGAACATTTTTTCTAGCTGAATGATCTTTCTATCTCGTTAATAAAATAAGACCTCCTGCCAGAGATTTAGCTTAGTGGCACTGCGCCTGCCTGGCAAATGCAAGGTCCTGAGTTCGATCCCCAGTACCAAAAAACAAAATAAAAAACAAGACCCCCTTCATGTGTTATCAAAAGGAGTGCTACAATTTCTTTGTTTCCTGAAAAGGCTTTTTTTGGGTGAGCTGTAAGTACCAGCCTTATGAAAAAATATTCCAGGGAATGAAAACATTTGAGAACTACTGCAATAAAAAATGTTCAGGCTTTCTTTTCTGTGCTCTCCAGTTATGTAACTTTGGGTTTATGTGTGTGTGTGTGTGTGTGTGTGTGTGTGTGTGTACTAGTTTGACTAGTTTAACACAACACAAGACACACACCTATAGTACCAGCTACTCAGAAGACTGAGACAGGAGGATCACTTGAACCCAAGAATTCAAAGCCAACCTAATTAATATAGCAAAACACCATTTTTAAAAAACCTGAAAATAGGGGCCAGGGATTTAGAGCAGCAGTTTAGTAGCCTGCAAGGACCTGAGTTCGATCCCCGGTACCAAAAAAAAAAAAAACAAAAAACAAAAAACAACAAAAAAAAAACCCCACAAAAAAAACCCTGAAAATTAAATATTATTTCAGTAAAATAGTAATAGGGCATGAAAATTAAGATGCTCCAGTAACTACCCAAACAAACATGTCACTTATTAGGGACTGAATGCATTTATTTTAATTATTTTTATCGTAATAGTTTTATAATTTATTACTAGTACTTAAAGTTCTACTCCTTATGAAAATGAGAAAAATGACCTAAAAATGCTTGAGGATAATCACAACTCCTCAATGAATATCTCGGTGTCAAGAAAGAAATCCAGGGCCAGGAATAGAGCTCAGTGATGCTATTGCCTGCCTCACAAGGACAAGATCCTGAGTTCGATCCCTGGTACAAAGAAGAAAGAAAGAAAAGAAAGAAAGAAAAGAAAGAAAGAAAAGAAAGAAAAGAAAGAAAGAAAGAAAGAAAGAAAGAAAGAAAGAAAGAAAGAAAGAAAGAAAGAAAGAAAGAAAGAAAGAAAGAAAGAAAGAAAGAAAGAAAGAAAGAAAGAAAGAAAGAAAGAAAGAGAAAGGAAAGGAAGGAAGGAAAGAAAGAAGGAAATCCAATCCAGGTGAAGTGGCACAGAAATGCCTACAATCCCAACACTCAGGAGGCTGAGGCAAGAGGATCACTGCAGGTTCAAGGTCAGCCTAGACTACACATAGTGAGACCCTGTCTCAAAAAAATAAAAAAATAAAAATAAAATAACAAAGTCCAAAAGTGCAGAGAGCAGCTGAGACTGCCCACCCTTCACAGACACATCTCCTACCTTTCCGCTTGAGAGACATTAGAGATCGTAAGAATCCTGAAGCTGGGCCAGCCCCACCAGGCAACTTAAGCTCCACATCTCCCATCAGCTGAGCCAGCTCAGTTCCAGGTAAATCGATAAGTCTTGTGATGTTGCTGACCACCAACTCAGTGAACACCTCAGGTTTCTCATGTCGGAGTTTTTCCACAAAAAAGTCAGGATTGAAGATAACAGGCTGACCTCGAAGGGAAGAATCATTGCAGATGATAAAACTGCAGATGGCATCACTGAAAAAAATGAGCCAGAAGATTGTTTAGGGGATCGTTTTGGTACATGTTTCTTTGTCATACAGATGAATGCTTTGGCCGGGCGTGGTGGCGCACGCCTGTAATCCCAGCACTAGGGAGGCTGAGGCAGGAGGATCGCTGTGAGTTCAAGACCAGCCTGGGGTACATAGTGAGCTCCAGGTCAGTCTCAACTACATAGTGAGACCCTGTCTCAAAAAAAACAAAAACAGATGAATGCTTTGGTTCCTGAGTCCACACAGGCAAAGCTTTCCTTACAATCAGCTGCCTTTGGATTCTGTTCCTCATAACCAAAAAGCTTTCACAGAATAGAGGAAACATATAGGTACATAAAATAGATTATTAATGAAATCTTGGCCAGGTCTATAAATAGGTTTTATTTATTTTACAGTGCTAGGGATTGAACCCCAGGGCCTAGTACATGCTAGGCCTTGAGCTATACCCCAGCCCAGTTTCATTTTAAAAATCTTCAACTCCGGATGCCTCTGACCTATCACTGAGGACCATCCTTTGCTCAGTCACTTTGCTGCAGACCCTCTAGTCTTAGACAATTTTCCACTCCTATATTCTATTTGATCATACTCTTGGCAAAATTCCTTTGCCTCTCAAGAAATATTTATATCTCTGTTTTTTGTTTCCCAATGGCTAACCACTTATACCTTTTTACTTCTAATGTATGTTACATTTAAGAACTGTGCTATTCCATCTCTTACAGTAGACGCAGCATTGTTTGTACCCATCATCAATTAACTCTAATGGCTTGTTCTAATCCTTACTATATAAATAGTAATAATCCTCATTATATTATTATATAAACAGTCATCTGTTATATGACTGAAGAACTGACATAACACAAACCAGAAAGGACAAACTATCATGCCTCAGTCAGGCAAAGTTAAATTCACCTGACTCATATACACATTTCCCCAATAAAAACAATCACAACTGAAGAGTTGTCCATGACAGCTAGGTACACCAAAGCACTATTCTAGGAAAAATGAAACGTTAAATATTAAATATAACTGAATAATAAAACAGTCTGACAGCATTATGTGGATAATTTTTATTAATAATATAATAGGGCCAGGGATCTAGCTCAGCAGCACCATGCCTGCCTCGCAAGCACAAGGTCTTGAGTTTGATCCCAGGTACCGAAAAAAACAGGTAAATAATAATACAATAAAAACAAGGTATAGGTAAACTTTAAACTTCACTGCTACTCCCTTGAAAAATTATTAATTTTAACAGCCTAAATTTTCAATATTCCTTTTCTCTAAAATGATAATTCACTATGAAAAAAATCACATAAATATAAAATTATGACTATTTGACCAAAAAGTACTAGAGAGGACTTAGAATGCTTATCTCCTCAGCTTTTTTACACACAAGGATAGGTCATTTTCCTGCATAAACTTAAAGATGCCAATGATTGTAATAATTAGAATCAGAAGACATTTAAACTTTGAAAAGATTCCCCTTCCCATGCTGGAGACTGAGACCAAGGCCTCCTGTATTCTGGACAAGTACTTTACTACCAAGCTATATCCTCAGCAGTTTTTATATTTCTTATTTCCAGATAAGGTCTCACTATGTGGCTTAGGCTGTCCTCCAATTTATACTCTCCAGTCTCAAATTTCCTGAGTAGCTTAGATCATAGGAGTGTGCCACCACCAAACCTAAAGAGCCCCTTTAAAATGTCTATTTCAGCCTGGCGTGGTGGTGCATGCCTGTAATCCCAGCACTCGAGAGGCAGAGGCAGGAGGATCACTGTGAGTTCAAGACCAGCCTGGGCTACATAGTGAGTTCCAGGTCAGTCTCAATTACATAGTGAGACCCTGTCTCAAAAACAAAAACAAAAAACAAACAAAAAATAATTACTATTTATAATCACTAATAAAGTGAAATTACTGAAAAGTCCAGAAAACCATGAAATGTGTCAGCACCAAAAAGAAATATAATTTATTTGAGTCTAGTCATATGGAATTCACATCCCATTTAATTCTTTGTTTGTTTGTTTGTTTGTTTATGAGACAGGATCATGCTATGGAGCCCAGGCTGGCCTCAAATCCATGGCAATCTTCCTGCCTCAGCCTCCCAACTGCTGCAATACAGGCATATGCCACCACACCCAACCATACATCCCATTTAATTCTGAGTATCTAATTTCAGATCAAATTTGTTCTAATATACAAATGCAAATGAATAGCATCCATTATATTCCTGAGGTACAAGCATATATACACATAAAATCTATAGTCTTATATTTTATTAATGTCAGTTAAGAGTCTAAAACTTTTATCACAGCTAACTCTGGAAACACTAAACTGGATCAAACAGACCAGTGAGAAAGGAGTTAGAAGCACAAAGCCACTAGCTATATTGTTTCTCAACACAGTTGAGAAACCTACCTGGCCATCACTCCCAAAACTGCCTCTCCTGAACAGCCTGAGCAGGTAGAAAGAAACAGATTCGGGGTTGCTGTTACCTACTTATAAGGAATACAAGAAAAAGATAATCTTGGAAATCCTAACACATAAGAAGCACAATCTCTTTGCTTTTCTTTCCCCTCTGCTCTCCTCCTCCCTCCTATGTTCATTCACTATTACTACCCTACGCTTTAATTTTTTTTTAACCTCATTTTTTTTCTGAGTGGAGCATCTGGTAAGACAAAAGGAAGTTTTAGTTACTTTTCTCTTTGCTGAGACAAAGTACCCCACGCCCAAGATTAAAGGAAGAAAAGTTTATTTCGGCTCACAGTTTGCAGAGGTTTCAGTCCATAATTGGCTGGATCCATTGCAGGGTGGCATGGCAGAGGGCATGGCAGAGGAGAAAGAGTTTGTGGCAGGCAGAAGGCAACAGAAGCATACAAGCAACAAGTGACAAGAAATGACCTTCTTTTTGTTCCTTATATTTTATCCAGGGGGGGGCAACCTTAATCCTATTCAGAACTAGGCCAAACCAATCAGTGGACTAATTTAGCAATCACACACCTTTGATCCCAGCATCACACACTCTAAATCCAGCTACCTCCAAAAAGCTCCACCTATGACCACATGAGGCTTGGGGGGAACATCTAGATATAAGCCATAACAATATCTAAAAGATAGAAATGGTTTTTTAAAAAGGAATATAGCAGATAAAGATGGAAAAGACAGTTATAACAGGTTTGTTAATTATCCCCATATCACAAAGTCCTCTAAAACCTTTCCAAAAAATGTACAGTACAAAGCTAAGAATATAAAGGAACACACTTAATAATTTAAGAAAGTCCTCGAACAAAAGGAAAAAACACTATATTTAAGCAAAAAGTCCTTCTCTATAATATTTTTAAATAAATTTAAGTTTGCTCAAGTTCTAGGAAAATAAATAAATTTCTTACATAAATGCTGAAAGCTTCTGATGAGGCATTGGTAATCGAAGAGACAGGAAAAAACTTTGTCCTTGCTTGCGTGACAGAGAAACTTCCTTTCCCTACCCCAGCACAGCCTACACAAATTCCAGACATATTAGAGGACACAAGGACACATTATGGAGCCTGAAAGGCAGTATTTATTAGAACTCTGAGCACTCTTCTGCAAGTAGGAACAAAATAGAATTTTAAAATCAGACCAGTTTGCTTCGGGAAACCTACACCTGCATTTTGCAGTCTTCATATGTAATCATATTGCCAAAGACAAACTATTTCATCATTTATTGTAAATAACACTTTTCCCCAGACTTACTGTAGTTTCTGAATGTATTGTAATCCAATTGCAATAACAATTACTGAGTTGCATCGATTAAAGCAAAAAGATCAGACCCGTTAACTGTTATTTGCCAACACATAAATGAAGCTGAATGACAGACTTCCCATCACCACTGAAAGTTGTATTAGATGAAATAGTTATTTAATGTGTGAGCATAAGGATAAGCAGTTTTACAGTATGGGGGGCAGGGTCATCCCTACCTCACATCATACACCAAAAAATTTAATTCTGGGCCAGGCACTATGGCACGTGCCTACAATCCCAAGGACTCCAGAGGTTGAGGCAGAATTGAGAATTCAAGGCTAGACAGGGGAACTTAATGAGACCTGTCTCAAAAAAATTTTTAGGGGCCGGGGATTTAGCTCAGTGGTTCTGCCACTTGCCTTGCAAATGCAAGGACCTGAGTTCGATCCCCCCCCCGACCAAAAAAAAAAAATTTTTTCTTTTCATTTTTAAAAGGGGGCTGGGTATGTACCTCAGTGCTCAGTGGTAAAGCACTCCACCAATGAGCTTCATCACCTTTGCTATTTTTTCATTCATAGGAACATAAAAAACATAAAGCCCATTTTATAATAAATAAACAAAAATATTTAAAACTTAAAGTATTAAAAATAAGCCATAGATTAAAAAAAGATATTTGCTATGCATATTACAAAGGATTAGTTCAGAATTTAGCAGTAAGCAAAAATTAATGATATTCCAATCAGAAAAATCAAGTCAAAGGATATAATCAACAATTAATAGGGCTGGGGATTTAGGTCAGTGGTTCCACCACCTGCCTTGCCAGTGCAGGGACCCAAGTTCGATCTCCAATACCAAAAAAAAAAAAAAAAA